TCTGTGGGTGTCTGAAAAGATTCATTTAGAGGTGTGTTGTATTTAAGAGCATAAATATTTGGTTGTATGGATCTCCATTTCATTTGTCATGCAGCTTTGAGATGTAAATTGGTTAATACATTTTGAGTATTGAACAGATTTTATGAACCCTTGCTTTTCTGATGAGTTGGGACAACTCTTCAGTTTCATTTTTATTGGCCAGATTTTAAAAATTCTAGCTAGATATTTATTATTCTTTCTATCAAGCTAGAACTTCACAATTTAAATTATAAAAATGAGTAAATCACTGTGCTGCACCACGAGTGTTGTTTTAGTACTTTACTTTGCCAGTATCTATTTTTTTAAACCTGCTTCTTGCATCCAGATGCCTTAACTGGTGTATTTACCAATGAACACTGCTATGGGATGACTGTCCTGCAAATTTCTTTCTAGTCACAAAATGGGTAAGGTGTGAGCAGTGGCTTTTCAGGCCTCCTCCTCCAATACCCCAAGCCAAATAAATGCTGATTTGTGTGATCCATTCGGATCTCAGACTATTAAAGAAGGCATTGTCCACTATGATCACACTTCTGTCTCCTTCATGGAGTTCAGGAGAACATTTGAGGGGGTGTCAAGGCCGTTCCATGGTTTAACAGAGAGGAGTTTGTCTCGCCGTGTGGTGATGAGTGTGAGTTGAAAAGACTTCCATCCCATGTCTAGATTTCCACTTGTACTGTTTTTTTCAGTTTCCCCAAAAGAGCAACCAATCTTGTCTCTAAAGCCTTAATTATATATAGCGTGGCAGAGACAGCTCCTTAGGGATGGGTGCAGCTTCCTCACACTTTAGTCATCACTGTTTTGTCACCTTATCCTGGAAGACAGCTGTAGCTGCCACCCATGCTTGGCTTCTCTGACTTGACCTCTCTCAGCAATTAAAAGCCTCGCTTAAACAGCCACACCCCTGATGTATGGTGATATATGAGGAAGTATGTATGTACTCACAAGCTTATTAACAGTGTATGTAATTTAGAGCTTGTATAGCTGACTGACTATTTTATAAACAAATGCATGGTGGATTTATTAAGCATGTGTATAAGAACATTGCCATATGTCTGAAATTAGAATTGCCTGCATAATACTGTAATTGAACAAGGCAGGATATGGCTCAAAGACACTTATTTCCCTTTGCCCTTTTGAATCCATCTGGTGGCTTTTGCTGTTCTTTTATCTCCTAGCAAATCAAGACCTTAAAATTGATGACCTAAAATTCGTTTCCTTGAAGCTACTTTAATGACACTTCTCTTTCTGTGCATGTGCGTGCACAAAATGTAACCCACATACAGTGGAGTGCATTCGTTCTTACCTATTTTATCAAGTAGTTGAGTCTATAGACATTATTTCTGTCTGCAATAGTAGAAACTTTTACAGTGCTGAAGGCATTTGCTGGTCAAACATAACAGTGACAATACCTGGTTATTGAATAGCAAATATCATAGGATGAGAAGGGGAAGATTTTAGCCCTTTTTTACAGGGAAGTAACTGTGAAGGAGAATGACAGTAGAGAGCTTGCATGAATACTACTTGAATTTAAAGTAGAACTGGGTTTCTTCTTAAAAATTCATTAAAAAAATTTTTTTTAAGCTCTTTTCTTCGTATTGCACTATGAATTCAGCAGGCAACTGGGCAATTGGGGTATGTATTGCCACAAGACACCCACCTTCTGACCTTTTAATTTTCAGCCTGTGGGGTTGTCAGGTGAAATTCCTGGAGACAGCTACATTGATTAACGTTTGCAGAAGTGAGATCTGCGTGCATGTTTCACAGCTCCATATGTAGCTGATCAGAATTTAGCATGTGCATCTCTGAAATAAAGAGGCCTGGAGGAATGATTTCATTTACAGATGTTGTCCCATCATGCTAGTCTGCCTGAGGTCTACTTTCCACTAAGATAAGGACCTATGTCTGTGTCTGCATGCTATATGAGTGAATTATATCATATAGGAACAAATAATTGCTTTCTGAGCTGAGAGCGAATGAGTAATGGCTGTCTGTGTTGCTTCCTGCATTATTGATCTTTGGAAACTACTTCTCACCAGAGGCAGTGAGAACACTTATCATGGAGTGCTGAAAAGTTCAGAAAACTGTTAACTAACTCAATTTTTTTTTTTTTTTTTTTTTTTTTTTTTTTTTTTTTTTTTTTTTTTTTTTTTTTTTTTTTTTTTTTTTACATTTGTGGCCTGATCCACACAGTGAAAGACCATGTTGGGGTAGATCCATGCTGCTGGAAAAAAAAGTAGAGGAGAGCACTGTTTGTGCTCTTCCCAATCTTATTTTGTTTACTTTTTTTTGAGAGTATTCACATGACAAATTATCCTTCCAGGCATGTTAACAGTACCCACATTTTGAGAGAGAAAAACCGAGTAGGAGGGATCCTTTCATATTCTTGTTACTTAGGGGTGTGAACAAAAGGGCTTTAAGGTGCGTAAGGACCTCGCTTTGTCACCACAGTATACTGATTTTCCTTACGAGAAATACAGTGTCTTTATATCTACTTTTATGTAAAATGATCCTGTTAATTCAGATTGCTAGCGAAGTTGATTTTCTTTGATGTATCTACCTGCCATAGTTTCTTAGCAATTAGGATTAAAAAAACATGTTGTGGGAAGTGCTCATAATTTTCTGACTCAGTTGATTTCAGTAAAAGCCTGTAAAGCAGCTGTTAAGGTCAGGAAATCTGTAATTGACCTATCATATGTTGCAATTAAAATGTATCACAGCTTTTAGAAATAGGAGTTACCTCAATCACTCTTGGGAAAAAAAGGAAAAAAAAAAACAAAACAACAAAACAAACCACCAGAAAGCTTTAATATATTAAACTGATCCATTAACTATTGCTCTCTTCTGTGTCTAATACAAGAAATGGAGGGGAATGCAAATCAAGCTCGTGGCTTTGATCTCGGTAGCCTGTTTTTGGCAGGGACCTCTTTCATGTTCTGGATAACAAAGTCCAGGGAAGATTCTTGCCAACGTCTGTCAATTAATAAGTTTACACCTTGAAACGTTTAGAATTATAAATACTATGTGAAAAATATTTAAATGAGAACACACATGAATGCTTTTGCCACGTACTGCTACTTCTTTTGCCTTACTACTTTTGTGGATTTTGTAAAATATTTGAATGTACTGTAATAGAATGACTAGGAATTTTATGGTTGCTTCAGCCCTGTGCACTTGAGTGGGTTTTTTGTGTCTGTCTGTCTCCCTCATAGTCCAGTATTTTTAATCATAAAATGCTTAAACCACTCTTTAATGCAAAATTGATCTTTGAGAGACTATACTGAAATGTGTATGACAGTTGCAAGGCTCTAGAAGCTCTTTGACAAGCTGAAAAAATAAGGAGGTGATTGGTGACAGCCAACATGGCTTCAGTAAGGGCAAATCGTGCCTGACAAATTTGGTGGCCTTCTATGACGGGATTACAGCATTGGTGGATAAGGAAGAAGCAACTGACATCATCTACCTGGACTTGTGCAAAGCATTTGACGCTGTCCTGCACAACATCCTGGTCTCTAAATTGGAGAGACATGGATTTGACAGATGGACCACTCGGTGGGTAAGGAATTGGCTGGATGGTCACACTCAAAGAGTTGCAGTCAACAGCTCGATGTCCATGTGGAGACCAGTGACGAGTGGCGTTCCTCAGCGGTCGGTATTGGGACTGGCACCGTTTAACATCTTTGTCAGTGACATGGACAGTGGGATTGAGTGCACCCTCAGCAAGTTTGCCAATGACACCAAGCTGTGTGGTGCGGTCAACATGATGGAGGGAAGGGATGCCATCCAGAGGGTCCTTGAGCCTTGAGAGAGGTGGGCCCGTGCGAACCTCATGAAGTTCAACAAGGCCAAGTGCAAGGTCCTCCACATGGGTCAGGGCAATCCCCAGTATCAATACAGGCTGGGCGGAGAATGGATTGAGAGCAGCCCTGAGGAGAAGGACTTGGGGGTGTTGGCTGATGAGAAGCTCAACATGACCCAGCAATGTGTGCTCACAGCCCAGAAAGCCAACCATATCCTGGGCTGCATCAAAAGAAGCGTGGCCAGCAGGTCGAGGGAGTTTGATTCTGCCCCTCTACTCTGCGCTGGTAAGACCCCACCTGGGGCGTCCAGCTCTGGAGCCCTCAGCATAAGAAAGACACGGACCTGTTGGAGCGGGTCCAGA